GGGAGGTGGGTCCGGGCCACGCGGGTGGCTCCTTGGGGACCGGTCCCCCCCCCCCCCCCAAAACCACCAAGGTCCCCCCCGGTCCCCGTGGGTCCTGCCCTCACAATTCCCCCTCCCTTCCCGGCAGCAAAGCCCTGGCTCACGCTGGGTACCCCAAATCCGGGTGCGATGCTGACACTATGTCCCCCCATCCCCTCTCCGATGATGTCCCAGGGCCGTGGCGTCGCTGAACACCCCGTACCGACCCGCCGACCCCACCGTGGACATCGTGGAGAAGATGAAAGCTCAACCCACCTTTGATTACCAGTTCTACTTCCAGGAGCCGGTGAGTCCTGCACCCCGATTTTTATCCTCCACCCCTCTTTTGGGACTTAAACCCCACCCCCCGAGTACGGGGATGTGCCCACCTCGGGGTCTACAGCTCACGGCTGGGCATCTCCTGCCCCATAGCCGGGGCACCACGCCGTGGGGCTCTTCGTGTCACCCCATCTGCAAACGGTTGAACTCTGGCACACCCCGTCCTCAGGAGCCCTGAGCCCCGAGGGGGTGGCAGGATCCGGCCCCCGGGGTGGGTCGGGGGTCCCTTCGGAGGGTTGGCATCACCCGCGGTGCTTCGTCCCCCCGCCCCATGCAGGGTGTCGCAGAAGCGGAGCTGGAGAAGGACGTCGGCCGTACCCTGAAGGTGCTGATCCGCTCCACGCGTCAGGAGGTAGGTGTGGGGCTGAGAGTGGACCTGGGGTGGGAGCAGAAGGCTTCACAGCCTGCCCGTGACCAGCACAGCCTCTCTGAGCCCTGCTAGCCTTGTTGGGGCTCGGACAAGTACCTCCATCCTGCCTGCGGCACCCTCTCCCCTCCCACCTCGCCCGTGCCAGGAGCCAAAATCTTCAGGGGTGGCTTTGCAGTGACCCACAGTGACCCACAGGCACACTCCACCCTGTGTCTGCCGTCCTTTTGCTGCCTGTCTGTGGCAGAGTCTGCATTCCCTCAAGCCATCAGTAGGGACCAGAGTGAACGCATCCTTGTGAGCAGCAGCACAGGGCCTGCACCTCTCTAGCACTTGAAGCTGACCCTGAGTAGGGATTGAGAAGACCTCTAGAAAGCTGTGCTGCCTCGAGGAGGGACAGCCCAGCTCGGGGAACAGCAGATTTGTGGGGTGGCTGTCTCGGTGCAGCCCGGCAGGGACTCCTGCTCTCCCCGTGCCCTCGCAGTGCCAGTGCTGCTCGCTTCCTCGACCCCTGCAAATGTTAATGTCTCGCTTTAGGGGGGGGGGAAACCTTTGCAGTTTAAAATAACAGCGCCCCTGGAATGCGCGGGAAGCCGTGCCTTGCCGGCAGCGTCTTTCTGCCAGCCCCGCTGGCTGCACCCCGCTCCCCATCCCGGGGCTGCGCGAGCGGTTCCTGCATCCCTCGGGATACAGCAACTCTCAGTGCCTGCTCCCAGCTCTGCACCCCAGGGCTGTGCAGTCCGTTCCTGCATCCCTCGGGATGCAGTGATGCTCTGTGCCTGCTCCCAGCTCTGCATCCTGGGGCTCTGTGGTCGGTTCCTGCATCCCCCAGGATACAGTGATGCTCCGTGCCTACTCTTGTTTCACAACCTGGGACTGCGTGGTTTTTTGCTGTATCCCTTGGGATGCAGCGTTGCTCTGTGGCAGCTCCTGGCTCTGTGTCTCAGGGCTGCACGCTTTGTTCCTGCATCCCTTGGGATACAGTGATGCTCCGTGCCTACTCTTGTTTCACAACCTGGGACTGCGTGGTTTTTTGCTGTATCCCTTGGGATGCAGCGTTGCTCTGTGGCAGCTCCTGGCTCTGTGTCTCAGGGCTGCACGCTTTGTTCCTGCATCCCTTGGGATACAGTGATGCTCCGTGCCTACTCTTGTTTCACAACCTGGGACTGCGTGGTTTTTTGCTGTATCCCTTGGGATGCAGCGTTGCTCTGTGGCAGCTCCTGGCTCTGTGTCTCAGGGCTGCACGCTTTGTTCCTGCATCCCTTGGGATACAGTGATGCTCCGTGCCTACTCTTGTTTCACAACCTGGGACTGCGTGGTTTTTTGCTGTATCCCTTGGGATGCAGCGTTGCTCTGTGGCAGCTCCTGGCTCTGTGTCTCAGGGCTGCACGCTTTGTTCCTGCATCCCTTGGGATACAGTGATGCTCCATGCCTACTCCTGGGTCCACAGCCTGGGACGGTGTCGTTGGTTCCTGCATCCCTTGGGATGCAGTGATGCTCGGTGCCTGCTCCCAGCTCTGCATCCCAGGGCTGTGCAGTCCGTTCCTGCATCCCTCGGGATGCAGTGATGCTCTGTGCCTGCTCCCAGCTCTGCATCCTGGGGCTGTGCAGTCCATTCCTGCATCCCTTGGAATGCAGTGATGCTCCGTGCCAGCTCCTGGCTCTGCATCCTGGTGTTCCTGCATCCTTCGGGATGCAGTGATGCTCGGTGCCTGCTCCCAGCTCTGCACCCCAGGGCTGTGCAGTCCGTTCCTGCATCCCTCGGGATGCAGTGATGCTCTGTGCCTGCTCCCAGCTCTGCATCCTGGGGCTGCATGGTTGATTCCTGCATCCCTCGGGGAGCAGCGATGCTCTGTGCCTGCTCCCAGCTCTGCATCCTGGGGCTCTGTGGTCGGTTCCTGCATCCCCCAGGATACAGTGATGCTCCGTGCCTACTCCTGGGTCCACAGCTTGGGACGGTGTCGTTGGTTCCTGCATCCCTCGGGATGCAGTGGTGCTCGGTGCCTGCTCCCAGCTCTGCATCCTGGGGTTGTGCAGTCCATTCCTGCATCCCTTGGAATGCAGTGATGCTCCGTGCCAGCTCCTGGCTCTGCATCCTGGGGCTGTGCAGTCAGTTCCTGCATCCCTTGGGATGCAGTGATGCTCCGTGCCAGCTCCTGGCTCTGCATCCTGGGGCTGTGCAGTCAGTTCCTGCATCCCTTGGGATACAGTGATGCTCCATGCCTACTCCTGAGTCCACAGCCTGGGACGGTGTCGTTGGTTCCTGCATCCCTTGGGATGCAGCGATGCTCAGTGCCTGCTCCTGACTCTGCATCCCAGGGCTGTGCAGTCAGTTCCTGCATCCCTTGGGATGCAGCGATGCTCAGTGCCTGCTCCCAGCTCTGCACCCCAGGGCTGTGCGGTCAGTTCCTGCATCCCTTGGGATACAGTGATGCTCCGTGCCTACTCCTGAGTCCACAGCCTGGGACTGAGTCATTGGTTCCTGCATCCCTCAGGATGCAGTGATGCTTGGTGCATGCTCCCAGCTCTGCATCCTGGGACTGCATGGTTGGTTCCTGAATCCTTTGGGATGCAGCGATGCTCAGTGCCTGCTCCTGGCTCTGTGTCTCGGGGCTGCATGGTTGGTTCCTGCATCCCTTGGGATGCAGCAATAGTCAGTGCCTGCTCCCAGCTCTGCATCCCGGGGCTGTGTGGTCAGTTCCTGCATCCCTTGGGATACAGTGATGCTCTGTGCCTACTCCTGGCTCCACAGCCTGCGACTGCATCATTGGTTCCCGCATCCCTTGGGATGCAGCGATGCTCCATGCCTACTCCTGAGTCCACAGCCCGGGATTGCGTCTTTGGTTGCTGCATCCCTCTGGATGCAGCGATGCTCGGTGCCTGCTCCCAGCTCTGCATCCTGGGGCTGCATGGTTGATTCCTGCATCCCTCGGGATGCAGCGATGCTCGGCGCTGGCTCCCAGCGAGGAGGGGTATGGAGCCCCAGGGCTGCCTGGCAGCCACGGGGATCCCCCGGGGATGGGTTTCCCCCCCGGGTGCGGTGCCGCTCCCCGCCCG